TCTTAAAGGGTTAAACAAGAGGCATCAATTGAGTCAGGTGAATATTTGTAATGATGTTGGCGGCTGTAAGAGAGGAAGGACACCTCCCAATTATCTATCACGACACCGTCTGGGGTCTACACAAATACTCTTGCAGACACCAGCTGCAAACCCCAGACTGACCTTAGAGGGGATCAGACATGAAACGGTGCTTCTGAGCATGAGAAAGTGTCACCAAATTAAAATCTAAATCTGTTTCAGCTTGAAGGACGTCTTCTTTCTAGCTGCCAGCAGCAAAACAGAATATATACAGTGCAAATCAGATGTGATTTAAAAGCTTCTTTAATGGCTGCAGATCTCATGTAAAATGCATTTTTAGTGAAACACCAGCAGGGGGAAACGGTGCCTTTACTTTTTTCCACGATTACTAGAAATCCTCAAGGTGAAACGAGAAGCAAACACGTACAGTGGCTCATTTTTAAATTAGGTGAACTAAATCCACAATTATCTGTAAAACGGGAGTCTCTCACACATAGAGACTACATCCTGGAGATAAAAAGGTGTTTGAGGAGTTTAAACCTATGAGGAACTGGCTGTCAGGATAACTTCTCACTACTGACCTTGTCGGAGTCGTAGTTAGCCAGGCGACAGCAGAGGTCGGCGTAACCCCAGGCAAAGGTCTTGCTCCAGGTGGGAGGAACCAGAACTTTGTTTTGCTCTACAGCGAGGATGCCCTTGTCAGTGGGCACAATCTGTCCCACAGGGTCTTTCAGCTCTGGAAAACAACGCGCACGCACGAAGAAGCGTGAATTTAAAGGAGTTACACACCTTGTATTCACAAACAGACCCCATGAAGCTTTGTTTACACAGCAATCAGTAGCGCATGCATCCTGTTTACTGAGCAACACTGTGAGCAATTAATTGACCGCATGATGCACGTGCGTACCTTTAACTGGTGCAAGAGAAGGTCTGAGATTGTCCAAGTGATGGAAGAAGATCTTGTCGCTGTTGGAGCTCGGAGGAACGCCGGCAACGTCGCCGTTGGCTTTACTGCGTAC